TAAGATTCCAGTCCCTGCTTCCCTGTGTTTTCTCCACCAGTATCTGCTACTGCCAGTCTGGTCGCAGGAGTTTATCAATCTCTGTCGTTGTCATGGAATGTATAGTCTTTTTGTCCATTTAAAAATATTCCTTTTTGGTCTGGACAATTTAATTCATTCTTTTCTCCCCATCCCATGCCCGCACCCTCCCTTATCTAATGGTCTCTGCATTTATCACCCTGACCTTCAGTTTATTTCAAATCTGGTTTTATTGCTTAGTGGGAATAGCTCTTTTGCTTGTAAGGAAGCAGATCTTCCCTCTTTGAAGCATCCATTATGCAGATTGGAATAGAGCCAGGTTTATCTGTTCTGTTTATCTTTTTGACTCTTATTGCTAGAGAAAGGACTAAGCAGAGAGAATAGCTCCTCTTTTTTTCTCATTTAGAGGCAGCACATGCCAGTAGGAATGCTTCAGAGCACCCTTTCCTTATGCAGACTGCTGCAAAACAGAAGACATCTAACTACTAGAAGGGACTTTTTTGTGGCACGAATGAGAGAGTTTCCAAAGGGTCAGCATTAGTGAATATAAGTTCTACTTTTTATCAAGGAGTTGGAAGAAGGCCAAACTGAGATTGAGGATGTAATTTAGTGGGTTTTTTTTTCCCCTTCTATATTGGAAAGCATATAAGAAACAATTTAATTCTCATTACATTTTAAAGACTAAGCTGCAGTAGCTCAGAAGCTGTTCAATTATTCCTTCTGCTGGAGTAAACTTCAGTTAAAGGAGGAGGTTGGATGTCTGGGTGTGGTTTCCACATCAGCCATCTGGTTTTGCTGGTACTTGAGTCAAAGCCCACAATTGTCTCCCTTCTTTCTCCTCACTCCCCCTCCCTTCCTTTTCCCCGCCCCCCAACATGCAGTTTGGCTGCTGGTGCATTTTTGGGGTGGAGCCACAGTTTCACTCCTTTTCACCTATGGTAGAAAAAAAGTTTTGTTCCCTGTACCCCCTACCCAGTTTGGGATCAGGTGGTGCATGTAGCTCACAGACAGGAGTAAGCCGATTCTTTATATTGCCTTATTTCCTTAAACAGCCGTGCCATGCTATCTTTCATCTCTTTATGCTTTCTCTGGTGCATGTCTTGTAACCCTTTTTCCTTTTGGCACAGAGTTCGGTTTTCTTCCTAAATCCTTTCTGTATAATGATGATCTTATTTACAGGCACAGTACTTTAGCTTTTCTAGTCCTTTTCAGTAGCCAGCATGGTAGCAAGCATTTGTAACATCTGAATGATGTTGCTTTTCAGCTTTTCCATGAAGGAGGAACAACAGAATTCAAAAGAAAAACTTCTCTAGGGTTGTCACCCTAGCAGCCTTGGCAGCTAACTGGAATGTTGGAGCTCAGAGCTACTTTGTCAACTGCCCAAAAAAAAAAAAAAAGGCTATGAAATTAAGTGACCTAACTCCTCTGGGAAGAGGACACCAAAAAGAAAAACTAGAGCAATTAAGCAGTAGTGCAAACACTAGCATATGAGTTGCATTTGGCGAAATTGCAAGGAATGAATATATAAAAGTTTTTCCCAAGTGTGAGTACGCAGTAATGTTACAGTTAGGCTGAAAGAAACTATCTGTCCAGTCTCATTCAGTTTCTGTGTTTCTGAACTGTGCTAAATTTTTAGATGTGTCTGTACAGTTTAAAGAGAAGATATTTCATGTCCTAAATTAAGCAATTAAAAAAAGTTCTAAAAATGTAATTGTTGTGGTTCCCATTATCATACAGAATGACATTATAAGAAAGAAGTTCCAGAATAACAAAATGAAAAATGTTCTCCCTGCTCTTACCTGGTATTACCTTACTCATTAATATGCTAGGCCATGAACTTAAAAACTTGTTACATATGGATCTTTGACTTTTTGTATTGGCAAATCCCTTTTCTTGTCCTTCCTTGCAGTTGATTAAATGTGCAAAGTATTCCATATTTCCTGAAACGTGTTATCTGGTGCTTGTGGATAAACTGTTAACATAAATCTAAAAGCCTTTTGCTATTTTGAACAATTTACATAAAATTGGAGTTTAAACTGTTAAAAGCACAGTTACATTTGTGAATGTAACTTCAAAGTGTCATTTACAAGTCTACATGTGTTTGGAGACATTGCTGCTGCCTTTGGCGTGGAAGGGTTTTGTTTTTTTATTACAAGATTTTGTTATTTCCATTCTGTGATAGAATAAAACACATTTCTCTTACTTTCATACTGTAAACAAGTGAATTGTAACAGCAGTTTCAAGTTTCACCTTAGAAAGCCTGTTTGCTATTTTGCCAGAGGGGAAATACATTTTTTGTCTACTAAGTAAGCGGGTATTGAATCGGCATCTAAGCGATTTATTTGTAAAAAAGATTCCCCTTTAAAATTGTCTGCCGCAATAGAATCCTGCTAGGAATTGGGAGTCTGTTATAAAGTGCTGCTAGGATATGTTATCAACTTCAAGCCATGAATATAAAATCCCCAAATATCAGTCTTGCTTTCAGAGCAAAATATAAAGCACCTCAACTTAAAACACCTCAGGAAAAATGCACTGCTCTTCTGAAGCTATTCCAGATCAGTCCCTGGCAGCGACACTGCTGGTTCTGTTTCTCACTGGCCTACAGCCTGTCTGCGCAGAACGGAGCAGCGTGTTAAATTTGCTGTTCAGCATGGTTTTGTGGGTTGCACAAGTACAGCTTCATGAACCATATTTTAACAACCAGTACTTACACCATAACAGAGCAAATTAGTTTAGGAATAGAGATTTGGGTTTATTCTTTTCCTGGTTTAGTACGACACTAGCTGTTACACTACTGTCAATAATATGACATGGAAGAAAGGAAGACAGACTTGAATTTTGTAGTTATTTTTAAGAAGAAAATCTGACAAACAGCATTCACCAAATACAGAGGAGAACCAGTTTTATGGATTTCAGATTTATTTTTGGAAAAACTGCAGAGACCAGAAACAGATTATTTTAGTTGTGACTATGTCTCAGAACATCTCGTATTTTGAGGAACTCTCTGAAAGTTGTAAAACCAGTGAGATTACACACACCCACAGTAGTTTAAATATACAAGAAGGTACACAAGGCAGCTAACTAGTGATATTTGGACCATAAAAAGAGAAACTTGGCTTGCTTTTAGAAATGAATTTTTTCTTAACCTAATACTTTGGGGCTATGTATGATATCTACTTTTCATACAAACAGTGAAGATTTGATAGAATGAAGCATTCTCAGCTTCAGCATGTTTTGCAGTTGAGATGACATGAAGGGCCCTGCTTTACAGGAGATAACACACAAAATTTTCACAGCCTGAAGCAAAATCCTTTCTGTAACTATTTTTTTCATCCAGAAAGCATGAGCAGCTGGGTGGGGGCGTGAAGAATGAGAGGAGTTTGGAACAGAATGTCTTGAGCGTGTAAATGGTCATATTTGTGAGCAAGAAACAGCAATCTCTTTCTGAGAAGGGTAGAATACAGAATCAATACCAAGCCTGTTACAACATTTGAAACAAGAAAAATCATGCAAAAGTAAAATGTAAAAAAAGCAAAAATCCTTAGTAAAACAGTGCCTCATTTTAAATATTAATAAAATTTGGAAGACAGGTGAAGGCAAAGGGTGGTGGACATTCCCAGGATTCATAGTCCTCTGTTTTGCTATTGACTTTTCAACACTGGGAATTTTCTTACCATATGAGAAACTTGCTTGTTGCTTTTGCCACTGCTAGGGGGTGTTTGTGATGTATCATAACAAATAACAATTCCTGAATGAGCATGTACATGTGTAAGCATGTTAAATTCAATTTGTAAAACTAAAGACTCGGGCGAGGCTCTGATAGAGAATGTATCGGTGCTTTGACTTGCTTAGCATAGTCTATAATTTTTTTTTTTTTTTCTGCCATCCCCTGGGCCACTATCTGTGTAACCCATTTGACAGCTCTGAACACTGTTAATTAAATTAATGTTAAGTTTTAATTTTTGTTGATATTGCAAACTTAATCCTTTTCATTGCATGCTTGCCTGATGTCTTCTGGAGACCTGTTAGGTTTATAAGAGAAACTATGCAATAAAGTTGTAAAGATGACTGTAAAAAAAGCTGCTGCTGGTAGAAAAATAAATACTGAATCTTGCACGAACTGGAAAGGTTGCTTTGATGGCTGTTTATTAGGGGAAGCAATGGTAAACTTTCTAATCACGGTTTATCAGTGGATATGTTTGAGAGTGGTAAGGCAAGGAAACTTTCTTCAGTCTTCAGCCAAACTGAAAGCAGATCTGGGGAGGTAGTACTAAAGCATTATATGTAACTGTTAAAACAAAACAAATGGACCATAAATCTTGAATACAAGTATTACTAATGAACACTGATGTAAATGGCTCATAAATAGGTAAAGTGCCAGAAGTACTTGTATCTTAATTTACCATGTGGAAGAAATATGAAAGTAGGCATCCCAGAATGAAAATTACTTCTTGCTTGTAAGTTCTGGAGAAAAACATTGTAGTTGTTCCAGCTTTACAAGTATTAAAATGAAGTATGAGTATTAAGCAGTTAATGTAGAGAAGTTCAAATTAATGTGAATAAAATAAGAAAAACAATTAAAAAGTACAAAAACATAGATTTTAAGAAACGAGATCATTATATAGGGTGTTTGTACTGACTATAGGTAATAGCTTAAATATCCTTAAAACACGTTGCTGGAATACAAGCCAACCATATAGCTGTAACTTAGCCTATTTTAACTGAATTAATATTCAGCCATTTCCATCTCTTCTTGTCATTCTCCATAAACAAATAGCATTCTTAGCTCTCACTTTGTAACATCACTATTGAATACACTGGGTTATTCTTCCGATTTGTTGTTATTTTGCTAATTTTGTCATATATTCCCTTCCCTTTGAAATATCAGCTACTAGAAAATAGCTGGCTTGTGTACTTGGTCTTGTGACAAAAATGTGAGTACATACTGAAATTTAACATTTTTTTTTTCTTTCAATTTTCAGATTTCCTGTTTAAGTTCTTGGTCATAGGAAATGCTGGAACTGGAAAATCCTGTTTACTACACCAATTTATTGAAAAGAAATGTAAGTATATGTGAGCACAGTAAGAGTTCTCCATTGCTTTGTACCACAGATGAAGGCTCTGCCTACATGATTAGGACATACCATTCTTTGTATGGAAGTTCCCATAATTCTCTTATCTGTATACATGAGGATTTTGACTGAGAATTATATTCAGAACCATGCAGTTATTGCTCACTGTTTGCCTCTAATCAAAAGCCTGATATTGAGCAATATTCTCTATTACTCTCGGATAAATATAACAGGGTGTTGATAAAAATACAGACTTATTTTTTGTGAGAATTATATCTTGCGGCTATGAGCTTCCCTAGCCATATAGTAGAGACCTGGATCTTCTAGAAAAAATACTGAGCAGATGAAAGAAACCTTGGTTTGCATGAGCAGATTTAGACAGCCTGTTGGACAGAACTCAAATCTCTCAAATCTAGTCTCTTTCTAAATAAATAGACACTCTGTGTTCTGTGATAAATACTGGTAGAGACTCCATTGTAAATGTTATTTAGAGATTAGTAGATGGTAGGAAGAAAATTTCCTGTTGGGTAGTGCCTTTAGCATCATGATTAAACAAAAATAATGTGCATTTAGAAACCTTTGTAAATCTAAGGTGACTGTTACCTTTCTCAACTGAGTGGTAATTCCCCTTATCGCTAGAGGAATAGCTCTAGGATAATAACAATGTGTAATCACTAAGGAACATGGCATGATTCTATGATTGAACTTGAACCGTGACCTTGGTATGGGCAGTTGTATGTTGCTGAGAATCTGTGGTATCAACAGTGTACATAGAGCAAGAGTCTTAACTTCGTACTTTAAAGAAGTAGATCTTGCTTATTCGTGGGCAGGACTGTGTCTTTTTGTGTTCTGCTTTTCCATGAATTTTAATTTTAAATTGCATCAAAGTATTAGAAAACACAGTTGGGGAAAAAACGTATTCAAAAGTTATCTTGCCATTTATTAACGTGAACTGGGAATTACTTGATTAAGGGGCAGGCCTTTCTTGTAGTAATTCTGAATTGAATAAGCTGTTCAAAAATTGTAAGAATGTTTATTTCTGCATGGTGGCAGTAGACTTACGAGTGGCACTGAATTTGATGGTTCAGGAAATAGTTTGTAATCTGAACGCTGAGGAGCTTTGATTATACCTAAATTGGATTTTGTAAAAACTAATTATTCACTCTGAATATACTCCAAATAAGTCTGGTTTTATTTCTTCTTTGTAGTCAAAGATGACTCGAATCATACTATAGGAGTGGAATTTGGTTCAAAGATCATAAATGTTGGTGGTAAATATGTAAAATTGCAGATATGGGATACAGCAGGACAAGAGAGATTCAGGTACCCTTTTCAATCATTTTGTTAAGTGTTTGTTATTAAATTGTTGCTATGGGTGTTGGGTATTATTTATCCCTGCTTATAAGTAGGCATAGTTTCTTGGTCAGTGGAATTGTTTGTCTTCTGTCGTATTACTAACTAGGCCAGATCTTCCAACTTGGACATAGCAACACAGATCCATTGATTTCAGTAAGGCAATGCTGCCTTGCAGGATCTAAGGTTCTGCCCTTTCTTTCCTTGGGTATTTTCTGTGATGGTTAAGGTATGTGAGTAGAATACGTGGCTAAAAGTTTGTTCACCAGCCAAGCTCAGAACAGATTTTTAAGTAACTGTGTGTGCTTAACTCTGCGTTTAGAAGACCTTCTACTGGTTGGAATAAGTAAATGCCAGGAAGTTGTAAGCTGTTCAAAATCTGCATGAGAACAATTTCAAAGTATACTATTATTTTATTAGAGGGGAAAAAAATCAGTTTCCAAATTCACTTGGCTAAAAACACTTCTAGAAAGACTGAGATCTCTTAAGTTTCTTAAAGAAAAAGCAATGTATTTGACAGCTTAGAATCACCAATGTACTGTTAATGCTGTATTTTAACTGTGACACACCTGAGGCATAGATCAAGCTCAGTAACAATCTAATGTATTCCTGAGTACATTCACCATCAAATAGGACATCAGTTTTTTTATTTTTTTGGGGGGTGGTGTGTGTGTGAGAGGTTTCTTTGGTTGGGGGAGGGGGCAGTGGTCAACAAAGGCAAGTATGGTGGTAGAAGTCTGAGTAATGGGCAGCAATTCAGGTAAACATCCTCTATTAGACAAGTTCTTTGGATACATCGGTGACTAGGTAAGGCTGGGCAGTGCTGTGTAGTCTCCATTAATGAGACCTCTTCAGTGTGTTGGCCAGATATCCTGGGATTCTGAGGAGCTTGGAGGCTCTGTACTTTCAGAGGCTTGTGCAAATTCTGCTCTTCCAAGTTCAAAGTGTTCAGACTTGCAGGTCCTTTTTTTCCTGTTGCTTTTTAAAATCTGTTCAATTCTTTTCTTTTTAAGGCTTATCACACCTCTGTGTACTTAGTAGGTTTTTTTCTTCTTCCTCTACCTTTTGAAGGATGCTTTGCTTTGATTTCCTTTCCTCCTTCTCTTCAACTTAAGGAGTCTTAAATTGTTCAGTTACAGCTACTTTGCTCATTCTCTCCTCACTGCTGCGAGTTCAAACAGAAGTTAATTATGTGTTTTCATGCCACAGGTACCACTACTGGCTCCCAGTTCTGTATCAGGCCATGTAGTATGATGATATGTGTAGCTTCAGCAGCACGCAGGTCATAATGGACTTTGAGAATTCCTGTACAGCTATATTTAGTGAAAGTGCTTCATCAGAAGTCTCGTTGTAAATAGTCTGCTGCTGCACAGCTGATAATGTTGTCTAAAAAACACATTTTATTTTAAATATGTAAATGAGAATTCTGTTTCATAATATAGATTGCATTATACTAACCCAGATTTGAAACAATGGAGATATTACAGAAATGTGCATCTGTAATTCTGTTTCAGGTCTGTAACAAGGAGTTACTATAGAGGAGCTGCAGGTGCTTTGCTTGTCTATGATATAACCAGGTAAGAAAGCTAGCAACTCTTTGCTTATAGACTGCCAGATACAATTAATGCATAATGATTACCCCTGAAGTACCTAATACTCTAACGGAGAATGGGCAGGGAGAAAAGAAAATAAATATAAAAAGTATTTCTGTTTTAGTGTGTATTTAGGTTTTGGAACTTGCTTACGTGAGATATTGTGAATGTCATAAATATAAACAGTTTCAAGGGATTAGACAAATACATAGGAATGGGCCCACCGGTAGCTGTTCTAATCATGGTGGACTGTATGCAACCACTGGCTCAGGAAGCCTTGCAACAGAAACGAAGAGCAGACTTCAGCCACTTTTAACCAAGGTGGTACACCCCTATTTGTGGAAACTGCTTATTAGTATGCTGGTGTAACAGGTCATCCTCTGGAGAAGCTAGCTCTACCTACACATTCCATAACTGTAGCCCAAAATTCAATTAATCTCTGCATCTTTCCATATTTTAATATTATAGGCAGCCAATAAAATTACCATTACACATTTCCACGTTTTTTCCTGGCCACCATCAACTGATACTTGCCAGTTTCATATTGGCTAATGATGATTCGCTGGATCTGTTGCTTTTTGTCCTGTGAGTGGACTGTTCTCCTCTGAGCAGTCTTTGAAATCTGTGTTCTGTGCTTAAGGTCAGTTGGACTCATTTGTCAGTCTTACTACTTGCAGGCTTTATCTCCGACCACAGCTACAATGACTAATGGTGTGTGTATGGTAACTGCCTGCAACATTATTAGTCTTGACACAAATGTGAAAGTTCAGGCACGCAATTCTCCACAAGTGTAGTAAATTCTTACAATCCCACCTGAAGCTTAAGTATCAGTTGAATTCCATGTTAAACAGTAACTCATTCTGTTGCCCCAAAATTTCATGCACAAAAGGCTGAAACTAGAGCAATGCTTAAATTTCTAGCTTTTCACATTAAAAGGGTATTTTATAATTGTGTATATTTATTTATATGTTGTGGATTATTTAATTTTGCTTTTTAAAAACTTCAAGCTTTTAAATAGTTTCATGAAGGAATACTCTTTCCAGTTCATAGCTGGCATATTGAGATGTGTAGGTGACTTGCCTGACTAGCAGCAAGTTGTTGTTTGCCACAAGTACAGATTTGCCTTCTGAGTTTTAGTTCAGTGATCTGTTCACTAGAAATGAGTGTGTTCTAATAAAGGATGTCATTTTGTACATAGCCGGGAAACCTACAATGCGCTTACTAATTGGTTGACGGATGCAAGAATGTTAGCAAGTCAAAATATTGTGATAATACTGTGTGGAAACAAAAAGGATCTTGATGCAGATCGTGAAGTTACTTTTTTAGAAGCATCCCGCTTTGCGCAAGAAAATGGTAAGTAGTACAGAATCTTCATGGAGTATTCAAAGATGCTTAATACTTTTTTTTTTTCCTTTTTTTTGTGCAGTTAGGGAGTATTTTGCCCACTGTACCTTGTCAGATATCTACAGAAAAGAGAGTTCTGTCAGTACATAACAGACACATGCCTGCATGTGCTGTTTAGGTCTCATTACCAGTGATTCTTCCAGTTGCAGCTGCTACTTAATACCTTCTATGTGGAGATATATTCTCTAGAGAATGTAATACAACTTCAGGTATTGCCTTGCCTCCAAAGGGCTGAGGAGGAAATAAAGAGCACAATTTCCTGGTTTTCAGCATATTATAGATTCTGTAGGTTATAGACAAGGTTGGATGGGGTATGCTGCAGCTGGAAGCAATGAGTTTTACTCATGGGAAACCGTGTTCAGTGTATTGCATGGATCCACAGGACTATTACCTCGTCTGCAGTATTCAGAATTTCCAGTCTGAGGACACATTTCTGTGGCAGCCAAAGCCAGTCTCAGTCTCAGCTTCTGTGCTGCAGTCCTGCCACCAGTAAAATCTGCTTTTGCTTTTATAAACCAATTATAGTTTTTTCTACCAACTGTGGCTGCTGGCTGTCCTTTTGCATATAACTTTCTATTCATGGGAAACTATGAAGTTCTTTTGGTTTCCTGCACAGCCCAGGTGATTATCTTTGGATTCCAACTTTCTAGGGTTAATGTGTAAGTTTCAGAAGAAGTTTTTTTGTGGTTTTGCCATCAAAAGCTAATTTTTCTGGACCATACTCTTTGACAGTAGTTCTCCTTAAGAAAATTTTTACTGTTCCTAGCTTTCATGCTTTGAATTACTATATCAGCTATTCCAGACTTGCTTTGAGATTGTTTTTCTGGTGTCAAATGCAGAGCTGATGTTCTTGGAGACAAGTGCACTAACGGGGGAAAATGTTGAAGAGGCCTTTGTACAGTGTGCAAGAAAAATACTCAATAAAATTGAATCGGGTAAATTGAGATTTATATTCTTTTAATTTTTTTTTTTTCCTGAAAACTAAAAATACATGTTGAAATATCACCATTCAAAGTTCTCTAATAGAATTAACCCAAAGAACGAAAATTTTGTTGTGGTAAAATAACTCATTTGGTTTATAGCTGCTTCCCATATGTTTTAATAGGAATGGATGTCTAAGTCAGATCTGTATATCTAAAGGGGGGGTGGTGTGACTTATGGATGTTTTTATACAGTGTTTACCTTAACAGTCAGCTCTGTGTGTAGGCTGTGCATTCTGTGGGTTGCTATGTCCCTACAAACATCAAGCCTGACATTAGACAGTTTTAGCAATGCAGAATAAAAACCTAGTATCGGGGTAGACATAACTTTTAATTCTGCTTCTCACATGTAGCAGGAAATACAGTCAAGAGAATTTGAACAATAATACTGACAATTTTAGGGATGTTTCCTAGCAACTGTGTTTCTCTGAAGTGACCTTCCTGCCTCACGGTTGAAACCATTTTTACTTTTTGCAGATCTAGAAATATACCAGAAGCTTCTCGGTGCAAGTGGGCAGGTTTCTATCAGAGACAGGCTCCTAAGTGTTAGGTGTCATTACAGCTCATTTGCATTCCAGTTTTCCTCTCTTATCTTCTAGTTGTTTGATATCTTCAAAGTTTTAAATATTGGCCATATTGAAAAGTCTGTCTCAGACTCTAATTACACGTTTTGAATGCCAAACACAAAATTTTAGATTAAAAGAATATGGTATTTTCACAGGAATTTCCTGATTACTGCATCAAATCAATGCCAAACAGCCACTTTCATTTTAAACAAACAAACAAAACCAAACCAAACCAAAAAGCAAAGTGTAGCTAGCTTCTCATGATACTGTAGTTCCATGACTGATTTAAAGAGGCATTACCACAACAGAAGTCAGTCCTGTTTTCTGTGAGCTGCTCCTGTTTTCTTTGTGCCAGTGCACATGCATTGAATCATGGAAAACATTGAGACTGGAAAGACGCTATGGATGTCTCTAGTCCAGCCTCCTCTTTAAAGCACGTTCAGGTTCAAAGTGAGAGCAAGTTGCCTGGGGCTTGTTGAGGCACATTTTGAGATGCTCCAGGAAGGGAGATTCCACAGCCTGTCTGGGTAATGTGTCCCAGTGCTAACCAATTGCCAGCCTGTACCAGTGCTTGGGCTCATTCCATCACAGGTGCAGAGCTGTACATGTGTGGTTGCTGAATTTCATGAGGTTCCTGCTGGCCTGTTCCTCTAGCTCAGCCAAGGTCTTTTGTAAATGGCAGCCCTATCCTTGAGCTATCAAGTGGTCCCCTCAACATACTGTCATCTGCTAACTTACAGAGGGCTCACATGTGTGCAATGGACCTGAATAAGCAATCTGAATTATTCAGAAGGATTTAAAAAAAAAAAAACAAAAAAATCCCCAACCAACAAAAAAAACAACCCACCCAAATGTTTCTAGTCTTGGCTAGTCCACCATACAGCCATAAGAACGTTTCTGAAGGCACAGGGTATAGAGTAGGCAGAAATGGATACCAGAAGTAGGGACGGTTGAGATCATTTCCTCTGGGGGCAGTGCTTTATGGAATCCTGATGTCAGATTGATCCATCTTTGTTTGGCTTGGTATTTACAGTACTTCTTTCTTTGCATATTAGTCTCTGAAAGCGGGTGTTTTTAACAGTGTTCGCAGAAAACATTTTGGACGTTTCCTTTGTTAGAAGTAGTTAGTGCAAATACATTTCTTGTATCTCAGAGACAAACTGCTTTGTCATTGTGATTAAGGGCACATGGCTGAAATTATAGGAGAAAATGATACAGGTTTGGAATTGCCTAAAAGTAAGCAGAATTGCAATAGATCTCTCCATAACTAGAGTAGTGTATCATTATGCATTTTTATCTAATGTTGTCAGTTAAATTGGAAGGTATTATTTGCAAGTGATCCGTCTTCTTATGATCATTTGGTTTCTCATCAGGAGAACTGGATCCAGAAAGAATGGGCTCAGGTATTCAGTATGGAGATGCTGCCTTGAGACAGCTGAGATCACCACGCAGAGCACAAGCACAAAGTGCTCAAGAATGTGGGTGTTAAAGAAACAAAACACAAAATCCTAAATACTCACTTTAGATACAGAAGGTAAGGTTACAAAAATTTCAGGGTGTTGGGTAAATTACCGTATTTCATAAATGTGCTGTATCAAGTGCTTGGCTTTTTCACAGTTAGCCTGTAAAGTAACATAGAATACAGTGAAATAATGCACAGTAGAATGGATTTTTTTTTTTTTTTATACTTTGATTTTTCTTCTACCATCTGCCTGCTAAAGCAAGACTAGTGCTCTTACTGAAGTATTTATAGATCTTTGCTTACTCTGAGTAATGCTGTGGAAAGCATTGAAAAATTCTGTATTCCTGAAATGCATTATTGCCCTAATAGTTACCTAATGCACTGTAGAGAACGTGAATCACTTCTGTTGTATTGTGGACAAATATTACTAGAAATGAGAATTCACAAAATGTATGGTGCAGTATCTTGGCCAAAGCTATTATATAGTCTTTTCTGAAAATACGAGATTTAAAGACTGAGACTTGAAAATTAAAGATAATACTGGATTTCAAACTTTTTTTTTCCCCACCTAAAACCAGCCACAGTTGTTCTGATTCCTGTCTGCTATGAGCAGAAATGTCAACAAAAGAACAGTAGTATTTGCTGCTTAAGCAGCCTTGTCATCTAAAGTAGCTCTTCTAGGGCTGTTGCAGCCTATGGAACGGGTATGCAGTCTTCTAAAAGTCTTCCAAAGATATTCTTCAGAGGAAGTGAGGAACAGATTTTTCCCTTTAGCAGTAGTAGGGGAAGAGACCTAAAAGTCACATAACATTCTGAAGAACAGCTTGGTGGTTAGTCTTTCTTATAAACAGTTGTCCTTAAGACACCTCTCAATATCCATGCATGGATTTTACTTAACTCCTTGCAGTATGTAAGCATCTGTTATGCCAGTCCTTTCTCCCTCACTCAGTGAGGGTAATTAAGGAATTGCTGTGTAGTTAATTATTCTGATATCATTAATCCTTACTTCTCTAATACAAGGACAGCAATATCAAATTAAACAAGTACTGCAGGCATTTTTCATCAGTTTGAGCAGGGCACACCACCAGAAGCTTTACAGAACGTTAAGTAAGGCAGCATGTAATTCTACATTCTCATATTTTGTTCTATATTGAGGGAGCTTAACTCACAATTAGAGCTCAGAATTTTAAATAATGAATAGGAATCCTTGAACTGCTTTTCTCCCTTATTTTCCTCCTATAAAATACCATCCTTCAACTAAGAGGCTGCTGGAAAAGGGCATTAATTTAGTCCAGCTTCAGTACAGCTCTACAGGAGTGAATAGTTACTGACCTTATTTCAGGAGCTGACTTTTCAGATTCATCAGATGGAGATAATTGATGGAATTCTTGTGTATTTTACAGCTGTCCTTGCAATGGTGTTTGAAAAAACAGAAAAGCTTGAAGGCTATGCAGTTTTTAAAAACATCTTTCCAGTATCTACAAACAGAGCAGACCACTGCTGACAGAAAGGTGTACCGAGTGGTGTGGGGCAGGAATGTTCATGTGACACAGAAGTCTGCAAAGCAAACTTGATAATTCGGTGGACGAGATTAAGACTCATACCTGTATGTAAACATTTTCCATTACCTATTTTTGTTCTTCCACCTCTAGTTTAAAGCATTGCTATATACTGTAAATAATGTAACAGTAAATTTACAAAGCATGGTATACTTACGTATGCTGATAGAATGTTGCACTACAGCAGTTTAATATTTTATTTTTTTATCATATAAACAAATTTAACTGAGGTAGGCTCTGTCATGTTTGTTTGTTGCACAATAGTTTATTTATGACCTGAATTATAAAACCACTGGCACTGTCAGTGAGGGGTTGTTGTTTTATTTTTTCCCTACTTAGTTTGCCACATGCTAACAAGCTGTTGACATGACTGATTCTCAACATATGGTTAGGACTCATACTTATTTGCTAGTGTGTCAAGTTGGAAAAGTAATTTTTACTGACATTCGCATATCCTATTCTTAAATAACTTCTGAAGCTCTTTTATCAAACTTCAAAAGTTTAGAAAAAATACTTTTAAGTCTCTCAAATGGCTGTTGACTGACTTGGATTTTTTGCTTGGTCCTGATGTTTTGTACAGCACTGGGATCATGAAGGTGGAATGTATGTGTGAACAGAACTGTGCATCTTCTCTGTGTGTTGTAATTTTAGAGCAGGGGCATGTGCTTACAGAGAATTATCACAGTAGGAGTTCTCCTAACCTCTTATCACAAACAGCAATCAGCTGTGGAAATATGATCTGTTAAAGCATACCTGGTGAAGTACAAAGTGAACCCAAATGGGTTCTTCTAAAGTATCCTGAATGTATGAAATTTAAAATACTAATTTATTTTTCTTAAACATTCGTAAAGTACAATTAAGAACCTGAATTTTAAGATTAGGCTTTAAAATTGTGAACTTACAGTCTGTCTTGCTGGAGCTCTACCTTTGAACTTCATGTGAATGCACTGTATGCAATGCTGTCCACATTGCCCCCAGGAGACCTGTGTGATGGAAGGGAAAAACCAAGTGTGCTACTTAGTGTAGTTCTTTCTTCCCGTGAAACTCATCAAGGGGAATTTCAGCCTTGGTACTGATTTCTCCCCCACCCCCAATGTTAAAACATGCAATTTGGACTTTCTTTCCTGCCCTCTTTTTATTGTGGGGAAGAGGCATGGGGCAAGAGATTAGGAATCCTGTCCTTATTCCTCAACTGGAAACAGAAGAGGAAGAGACTTGCAGAGGGCCCAGGAGGGAGGACTGAACCACCAGTATTGCATATCACTTTTACAGTGCCATGACAGCTGATCAGGTAAGAGACCTGTGGCTTTTGTTTTGCCAGATAAGGAGCTGCAGAACTGAGCTAGTGTTTCTGGAGGTAGCTGAATTCAACCAGTTGAGGGGGGCAATTTCACTTGCACTGATGGAAATCACTAGGTGACTTTTTTTACTTAGTTACTTAGATAACTAGAAATGGGATGTCTCCTTGGAAGTGCAAATTAACACAAAATAATGAATTTGATCAGAACCCAGTATCAAAATTCCAAGGTCATACATGCTTTATTATTTTCTAGGTATGAATGTTTTCTATTTCAGAGTCACTTGTTAAATGCATGTTTAAAAACTAACCCAGAAAACTGAACTGGTGCTGTAATTTAGAGGGCAGTTAAAGCACAAGAGCAAAGCAAGAATGCTACACAGAGGTATACCATCTTTCATGGAATTGGAATTGTCTGTAAAACTATTCCCTTCCTCCTGACATTTTGGTTCAAATGGATGCTTATCTGAAAATTATACACCTTTGGTCATCTCTGAATTAAAAGGAATTAAGTTTGCTTTGTACTTGAAAAGCCTAGGTTTAAAGAGGCTGTTGGGTCCAAAGACTGTCCTGTTCTCTCTCTCCCCTATGTATCTTGTTATATTTAGGATTGGATTTGTTACATAACTGATAATGATTATTCCCGAAGAGTGTTCTCTTCCTGGTAAGAGTATAAAGTATTTTTGAAACAGCCTAACTGTGCATTTACCAGAACATCAAAGAACTCCAAAGAAACTTGCCTGTCCTAATCCTCACTCAATTTATTTTGGCTTCCACTGCTCAGAACTGGAAGTAATTACCAAAAGCAAGGCCTGGGAGGTAGATGTTGGATGTGGTTGTCTCCTCTACCAGTCCAAATGGCATATTATTAACTGAGATGCATTGTGTTTCTGCCAGAGTTGGGGAGGGTGTTGGTTCCAAAACCCCAAACCAGTTCTGGAATGCTGGGAAAAGATAAGATTTTTGGAGAGTCTGTTCCCCCCCTCTTACCACAGTCTAGTCAGGTTTCGTGGTACACTGACAAAAGTGAAAGGTGAGCACTTTTTTATCAGCTGGGACATAGCACAAGTAAAGCTAAAGGTCTCTCTCCTATCACTGTTACAATGTTTGAAGTGGCCTTGGCTGTTGATCAAAACTACTTTCCATTATTATAGTAGCAGTTGAAAGGAGCAGGGGACTGTTACCAATTCTGTTGCTTTTAAATAGAGATTTTAGGGGTTTGGCAGGGATTTTCTTACACTTCTTCCTGTCCTTTTCCCTTTACATACAAGACTGGCCTCTTTTGTATACTCAGATCTTAGGATCATTTTGGTCAAGTGTCTGTGGTTAAGAAGCAGTAAATACAGTTTTATTCTTTCTGTAACCAACTGTCTTAAGCTGTCCCCTTCCTACCTGGAAGGAAAGAATGGGGTCATTATAATGAGTTTTGACATTTTTACCATATTTTTTTAATGTGTACACATTAACCAGGTTAATGTGCATGTTTTGTAGTATTGCAACCTTTTATGCTGCATCTCGCTGACATTTTAAAAGGAAACTTTCTAAAATGGCAACTCCTGAAGGAAATACTGTTGGAAGCAATAGCTCTCACCAGTGCAAGCTATATTGTTTACTATTTCTCCTCTGAGGTTTTTTTTATTTCTGAAAATAAACATCATGCCCAGTAACAGCCCTAGGGTAGAGCTTAAGCTTTAGCATTATAGTTCACTCAGCAAACCAAACTTAGCTCACCTAAACAGTAAGTGATAAATAGGTTAAATTATCTATGGTTTTAGTGTAAAATTCTTACTTTACCAAAGCAAGATGAAATAATACTGGGTACCTATATCCTAGGATTTATTGGATGTGGAACTTTAGCTGTTCAGACCTTTAAAAGAATTAAATGTCTTATTAAAGCCAATGTCTTGCCTTTTAATGAGTCTGTTGGACTACACTTTCATTTAATGCTTGTATCTAGCACCAAATAAAGAATCTTTCTTGATCTTCTAGGTGTCTTACAGCACATTCTGTTTATTTATACAAGTTTTGCCTGCTAAGTGAAGCCTGTAACCTGACAAACCTTAGATGGTCTTGAAAAAACACTGTGCTAAACTCATTGCATAGTCAGTATGTGGCTAGGAAAGCAGCAGCAGGAGCTGGAGTGCTTCAGTGTATACCCCAGGAGCAGGGCAGGGCCCTCAGTGCACTCCCTGGTAGTAGCAGCTTTACCCGTGGTGTGGGAGGGCCCCAACCCTGCTGCTGCCACCACCCCCTGTTAGAGAGGGACAATACATCACTTCCCTTCTGTGTGCCCGTGAGAGGTTACAGCTGCAAAGGTGCACATGCTTTCCTTGCATCTCTGAGATGGATAGGTCTAGATCTCTCAGAGAATGTGGCTTCAGAAGGTAACACTTTAAAAAGCTAAAGCAAGGGGAGAATACAGAATGTATTTGTACTTACAACTTCTCCAGACTATATTAGAGGCAATTCACAGTTGACCCATCTCTTGTCCATTCATTGTATTCAATTAGGTACCTTATGGCTCAAAAGTACACAGCTTCTGTAAGTCCTCAAAAAAAAGAATGCTATTAAAAATCACTCATTTGCATTATATTCTAGATGCTGAAAGAATGAAACACTGTAAATCCACAGAGAGTAAAAATACCAGGCAGCTTTGTTTCCTTCATTTACTGTAGAGCCAGCAGCATACAGAACTTCAGTAGAGCTATCCTTGAATAGCATAACTTTTCCTATTTGCAAGAGTGTATTTGTTCTTAGTGATACAGCTTCCTGTTTTTTTTCCCCATGTTACCTTCTTTTTCCAAAGTTCTACATTAAGATTCCCTAAGGCTTCAGTATGCATAGTACTTCAGATAATAGCTATATGTTTTAGGCTCTATTTTTCCTTTGTTAGTGGTAGAAAAAGCCAGTCAGATGGGGAAAGGGTAACAGGAGGAACATAGGGAACAAGCTCAGCTCTCAGCTGGACTTGTAACTGTAATCTATCCCATTACCCAACACCAGTCATTACAGAAACCTGTCACTTTCCAGAAGAGACTATATGGGACAAGCAGAAGCCACAGTTTGCGTGCAGAGACTAAAGCACCCTGTAATGGAAAACCTGAGACCCCAAAAAACACAGTACAAGCAGTCAAGGCACTTTGTGTCACTCATTTTATTCCCATATACAAGTTGACACTACACTATTAAATATAGACAATACAGAAGCATTAACAACAAATACTGTTTAAAAACTTTAAAAAACACATATTGCTTCAAGCTTAGATGGTATTTCCCTATAGTTTTTAAAGTGAATTCAGTGCTAACAATAGCTGAGGCAGCTTCCCATTCAATTGTACCCCTAATTTTATAGGGGCTACTGTCAAGGTGTTGAGTCAGGCTCCATATATGGCTTTGCTGCTGAGTGCTAACTGAGCTGGAAAATAAACTGGAACATCCAGGTTACCACACGTAAGGCCCTCAGATTGCTAGCTTTTGGTCCCTATCACAGTTAAAAAAAAGTCAGAGGCCTTTATAGTTCAGTGGCACTGCATTATACCATTAAAAAAACCAAAATGAGAACAGATATACTTCCCTACATGTTAAAAATTTGATTAAAATATGTATTTGCTACCTGGATAAAATTCTTACCAAAAATTCAGGTCTGTCCCTCAGTTTTGTTAAGTTTGGCTCTAAGCTTAGCTATCACCCTGACTATCTTAGCTTCCAGTGAAGAAGTCTGTAATTCATAGTTGCAAAGATGTGACAGCAGTGACTGAACAGGCATGCTACTGTATTTTACAGGGACATTCTTATGCAGTTTTCATTGTAACATTTTACATTGTAAACACTAGTCTTCACAACACTAGTTAAATTGCAGCATTACACATTGTAAGAGTCTTGTTTCACTTAGCTAAGTACTTCCAGAAACAGAGAGTAATAAACAGTTATGTTAATGAAGACTTTGGACAACTG